AAACCCTAAAACCCTAAACCCGCACCTTGGCTCCCAGGCCCAAACGCTCGTGGAGCGCTTGAGACTGGAGCTCGGGTCCGACTCTCACCTGAAGCTCTTGCTTAGGGTTACTGTTTAGGTTTTTCTTTTTAGGGCCTTTTTTCACAGCATCTGAGGAGAGGGTTTAGGGTTTAGGGCTTAGGGTTTTCGGGTTTTGAGGGGTCTAGGGGTTTCGGTTATAGGGTTTATAATGGGTTTCATGTCCGACCCTTGGCTGGTGCTCTATTTACGGCTTTAGGATCGATCCTCGCCTGCGCCTCGTCTTGAGGAACTTGGGTTGAACATGCCGAAGCCGGGGAGTTAGTAGGGCTTCAATGGGGGCTGTCAGGAAACGTAAACGTAAATTAAATTTATCGCAGTTGGTGTGTGTGTGTATACAATATCTATATATATATATATGTGCAAGTTATATGTATATACATATGCTCATAAATCAATAAGACTGATGTCCTTGCTACGGTAGCCCTAACTCCCTATCGAACAAGGACCCAGTCGCCAGAATGCCCTCGGGGTTGGAGCCTCCACAGACGGTCCACAGGGGCGGAAGGCTCTGCTGCCCTGTCTCCATAATGGCTCCGTGCGAGGCCAGCAGCCGCCATCGTGCCGGAGTCTGCGACATCATTGGCAGGAGGTTTTCGAGCATAAGTGGCCGTGACATGCGTGGAGCCCGTGACAGTGGGGAGAAGCTCGCTTCGTTTAGACCTTCCCACCGTGCTGTCCCACATCTGACACCATAACCAGCATGCAAAGGGAAGCTAAACACAGAGAGGTCCAAACCTGTTGAGATTGAGGTTGTCGGATATTGTCTGGACAGCCCTTGCCCATCCGCCCTGGTTGACGTAAAGAACTCGTGGGACCTGGTTACTTTTATGGAGGATGCCGGGTCCAGGAGTCAGGGTTTTGCTTGGGCTACTTTAGGGAAGTGGTAATGTGCTAACAGAATCATAGCACACTGACAGTAATCGACATCATCATAGGAATACCAGCAGCAAGAGCAATACTGGCAATGACAATGATAATCGCGGTAGTGTGGAATCACGAAGAATCGAAAATACTACCCTTCTTAATTTATGAAGGCTCAAGTACAAAATCAAACTAACTATCTATCATGCTTGTGTTCCGCGCAGGGTTGACCTGCGACTTCTTTGCACGACCTCCAGTCTTTGCCGGACCTGTGGCTGTGGGACTTCGGGTAATTACGTGCATCTCGGTGCATCTTTCTTCAGGGTGATCGCAAGGCGCAGTCGTCGAAAATGCCGCAGGCTGATCAGCTTTGAACCGATCTCTGGGCAGCTTGAAAATTTTGAGACACCGAAAATTTTGAGACACCGTCCCGCACTGCACAGCCCAGTTAGATACTCAGCAGGTGAACTCATCTGCTGAGGCCGGCATCTTTACAGACAAAACTACATCGAGCCTTCATCCTCCAGTCCCTTCACTCTTCATTTAACTTGTCTAACGAAAGCCACAAGCCCCAAGAAGGGCTATCAAGGACTGAAAGCTCGGAACCTTGTGGGAAAAACCCCCCGCCCTTGCTCTCCCACCTCACCAGAGCTGATGTCGCGCAGGATCGAAGGGCGTCAGGTCCACGCAGGTGGAATGCCCATCCAGGATTTCCTACGAGAAATTCACCTACTTGAGGCTTCGGGCTTCGGGGCTGCAGATTCTGAAACCATGAGTGTGGATCCAGGAAGATTCACCGAGATCGAGGTAGTCGTGACATGTGAAGGTGCTGCGGTGATGCAGCTAGCCCCAACAACTCAATCCCCAACTATCACTCCAAGACACAGAGATGGCAGCTATCACTCCACCATCCGCGCATGCCGCGCTGGGTTGTCTGCTGGAATCTGGCTTTGGGCCTTGGGTTCTGTTGTCTGTCTGCGTCATTCGCATATCTAGCCTCGCATCGTGTGACTAAGCCCAACTTTGATTGCACATGCGCCCGGAAATATGTTTAGAAAGCAAGTTTCGAAGGCTCTTTAAGTCTGCTCATGCAGCTTCCCCACCCAAGGGCTTCTGCCCGTCTGTCCTCAGCAAGTGCCTTGCCTGTGATGGGACCACAGAGAATCCTCAAGACACGCTCGGCCGAGTCAGCTTTCATCGACGTCTTCAGAAAAACCAGCACAGGCTCACCCCAAAAACTACAAGCTTGACTCATGCTCCGGGAGGTTGCATGCATCTCAAGTCTCAAGCCTCTTTGCAACTTCTTGAAACTGCATGACCATCAACTTCCCATATCCCACCACACCTGTCACATCTAGCCCTGAATATGTCGGCCCAGCTGCCCGTAAGCATTGTGGCCACAGGCCACGTAAGCCGTGCCTCCGTAGCCTGGAATCCGTCCAATCCTGGGGCGTCCCGTAAGGACTCAGAGGTGAGGCTCCAGTTTATGCACAAGGAACATGATTTCGCTCCGTGTTTTCGCGCGAGTTACGTCTGTTTATCAGCTACCGGGTTCGGAGTCAACAAAGTTCGTGCACGGTTTTCTCACAGCACTTGCATAAAGGAATCTCCCAGCCGACATGTGTCAAAGCGCCGAGGTTGCATCACATTAAACTACGGCCGGGTCCATGCAAACAAGCTGGCAGCACCCCACAACCAGTTTAAGATCACATTGATTCCACGAGCACTTCTGGATGTCCCCCCCAACAGTGTCCACAGATGAGCCGCATCGGCGCGCGGTTCGTCATGACGGAGCGCACGCCCGCTCCTATCGAGCCCGGCGCCTCCGAGGAAGCGAAGCACAAGCCAAGCCGTCTCCCGGCTTAGGGTTTAGGGTTTAGCGAAGTTTAGGGTGGTCACCATGAAACCTAGTTGCTAGAGCCTCCGGGGAATCTAGCTCCACTTCAAGGCTGTAGTAGCTCTGGAACCCTACATCACAGCAAAGTTTGATTTAGGCCTGAAGCGCGTGCACTCTCACACAGCTGTTAAGCATGTCATCCCCACAGCCTCACCGCGAGCCAGCGAAGACAATCGCTCGAACGCATGGCGACCAGCCTGCGAAAGATTACCGTCCAAGGGCCAGTGGTTGTCCGACAGGAATGCTGCATGTGAGACGTGGGCGCCTCAAGATCCTCTTGGACAGGAAGCACATCCTTGAATGCACAGAAAGAGGGGAAAGCACCGGTGTGAGGACGTGCAGACAGCCATGTGAAAATGACGTCCTCCGGGTTGATTTGTCGAAGGTCCTGACCAGTCAGCACCTCGCAGGAGTCATGAAATCCATGCAGAGTTGGACATCAGATCTGATAAGTATGCTTTAATCTGTATTCGGAGCTAGCGAGCCTCTCGCAGACTCTCGAAGCTGTTTACAGTCAAAAAGCTACACAAAACAAAATCCTCAGCCTCAAGCAATTCAGCAGACGGCACACTACAACTATCTACGATTGCACATCCGCCGGAGCCTTGTGGCCGCCCTGCACCCCGAGGCAGGTGATCTGCAGTGGGGGTCTCTATCGAGTGCCCAGGACGGTTCGGGCTTGGAGAAGATCGGGTTTCGGGTGTCGGCTGAGGGCCGAGTTTAGGGTCTAAGAGCGTTTAGAAGTTGAAGCGGGTTGAGGGCACCGTGCAATTCATGGCTTAAATAGGGTGTACTGACTAGAAGCCAAGAACATAATGAGACGCACCATCGGAGATTGAAGAACTATAATTAATGACTGATGAGTTGAAGGACATCTCGTTATATGTACTTGTGCGTCATACACATATATACATATGTGCATATGTAGCAACCTGAAAGATTAAAAGGCTCGTTGCTGCGCCCTACGCAACAGTTGAATGTGTTCTCTTCCTTTTTGTTGCTCAGGATCCTCGCAAAAAATCGTGCGCTCTTTCACTGTAATTCCTGTCTGCAGTCTCGCGCAGCCAAGCACTCCACCTGCACTCCGGTCCAACACCCCCTAAACTCCGGAACCTCGCCTTGCCATCAGCTCGAGCAGTGACCATGAGATCGCGGCCCTCATCATCCTGCCACGAGAGCGAAAGCTCCAAGGCGGTGTTGACACCATCAAGAGTGCGGTAGCTTGTCACAATAGCCCACGTCCGCTTCTGTCGACCTCCGGTAATCTCTCAGTTTGAATATGCTCATCGCTGACTTACCCTGGTCGTCAATCCCTCAACCACTCCAAGGTATGTCAAAGCCGGGCCGGACCATCAACACTCCAGATTTTACACCGAAACCCAAAAAACCGAAGCTGAAGCATGCACGAAGGCACTGGTTGAGAGATGGCGATGGCGCTGTCCACGCTGCCGGCAGGTCGATCCTTGCTCTTGGAATTGTCGGGTTGAGGTGTTGTTGGGTTGAGGTGTTGTTGGGTTTTGAACACAGTTTAGGGGCTATGGTCAAAGCTGAACCGTATCGCATCATCGGATATGAAAACTGATCACCGTGGCGGGTCAAAACTCTCCGTCCAATCGGCAAGAAAAGCAGAACACATTTGATTTTCGGTGATCTGTCGGATGCCCCGAACACCTGTGGGTAGTTGTCAAAATTAGGGTCCCTTTTTGGGGTACCCTAAATAATAGGTGCCGTATCATAATAAGGACCCTTAAAGGGACCATAATTTTGACAACCACCCCTGTGAGGCTAGGGAGCCAAGATTCCCGAACAAAAACTGTTTTCCAAGAAGGCTCGTCAGCGGCAGCTGCTTGGGGAATAACTTGAGTGCTGCCCCCATGCATTAACAGTCTATAATGAGGTTATTATTAAGGGCCTTATATGGCTTTATCATAAGTATTCATCACCTGTTACTGAGTGGGGGCAGTATCCAAGGTATAATACAAAGAAATACGATATAAGTCATGAACTCATGTAAGAAACGAAACAAGCTAAGATAAGATAAGATAAAGATAAGATAGGATATAAGATATAAGATGAAATATAAGATACAAGATAAGAGATAAAAGATTTAGGACCAGATAAGATAAGATAAGATAAGATAAGATAAGATGGGATACCAGATAAAAATATCAAAAAACATCAGATAAGATATAAGATACACGATAAGATATAAGATAAGCTAAGATAACAGGTTAGGATGGGACAGGACAGTACAGGATAAGATAGGACAGCGTAAGATAAGAGAAGATGAGATGAGATAACATAAGATAATATGTGAGATGTAAGGTATAAGATATAAGTTATAAGATAAGATATAAGATACACGATGAGATATAAGACAAGAGAAGATAAGATACGATAAGACAAGATAAGATGGTGTAAAATATAATAGGTTAGCATAAGATAAAATAAGATAAGATGAGATATAAGATAAGATAAAATGTAAGACAATATAAGATAGGCTCTAAGACAAACGAGATACGATATAAGATAGACGCTCTAAGATAGGATATAAGATGCACGTCAAGATATAAGACAAGACAAGTCAATGATTAGATACGATAAGATAAGATAAGATAAGATAAGATAAGATAAGGTAAGATGATGCAGGATTAAGATATATAAACCGAGATATAAGATACAAGATAAGATAAGAGATAAGCTAAGACAAGATAAAAGATGATAAGATATGAGCAAAAAGATATAAGATAACAGATTCAGAAAAGATGAGATAAGATTAGATAAGACACAGGCGATACAAGGTAAAACACGTGAGGCGATCGAACGCACTATAGTAAAACTATGAGAAAAAGTAATATATTTCACATAACATAATCCGGCAGATTGCAATATAATATGAAAAAACGAAACATGATAACATAAGTTAACTTCATTCACTCTAGTGGTACCAACAACAATAACAGTGATAAGAACAAAACTACCAAAATGTAATGTAATATTATATAACATAACATAATAAAGCACAGTAATTATGGTAATATACGATATATCAGTATATATATATATATATACGTGATGCAGGATATCAAATTTAAAATCCAGTATCTAAACTGTAACATCTAAATTCTGATATCTAATATCTAATATCTAATCTATAATATCCAGGGTCTTCTACGTGATCTGTCCGGGGTCTGCATTTCTTGCAGTAGCGTAAAGTCGCTTAACTGTCGTGTGTTTGTCCGAAAGGGGTCTTTCAGGTGCAACCGTCGTTTTTGGGCACGAATATTGAGTGTGGCTTGTTGATCAAAAGTTCCATTCGGAGCGGCCTTGAAACACGGACCAAGAAATCTAGCACCTGTGCATAATTAGACACATCTGGAAAACACCGGAAACATGCGACCCTGGCAATGGGTTTATATTAAAGTTACGGATCGCGGTGGAGTCCCTGCCGATTCAGCCAGCTGTTGGTTTAGGATGTTGTGCAGCGAGGGCCAGACCTAAACCCCCAATCCGAAGCCTAAGCCCAAATAAATCCGTGTAAGGTCAACCCCCTAAACCCTAAACCCTAAACCCTAAACCCTACACCCTTGGCCTGATTCCAACGGGGGCCAAACTTGCCGTGCAAGTAGCATGTTTGCCCCCGAACTTGGAGTGCGGCTTGTTAATCACAGAGAAGGCCCTAGAATAATATGACAACAATACTCTTAACAGTAATGATAATACTAATAACCACATTAACAACAACAATGAAATTAGACTAAATATAATGATAGTACTCATACTAAAACGAATAATACTAACACAATAATAATAGTAATAGTAAGAAAACAAACGAAACTATAATACTAATCAACATCATCAAAGTACTGATAAAGGCCATAGTCAAAATCATCAAAAAAAGTCATACTCATGATGCTTGATGATAACTTGTCATAATAAGAATAATAAGAACAGCAGCAAAGTAGAGCTACATTGGGCCCCACACCAAACTTGCGCCTCCTTCGGAATTCTTTTAGCCTGGACACATAGAATGCCATGGAGCCCAATGTTCCAAGGAGTGGCACGCGAAAGCCCTGGAACCAGTCCTGGTGCACATGACGGATTATTCACAGGGCTCGGCAATAATAAGAATAACAATGCTAAGATCCATAATACTAGTAATATATTACTAATAACGATCATCACAATAACATTAACCAAACATAACAATAGAGAGTTCAGGGGCGCCTGCAAGTCGATGGCACGCTCGTTAAGCACTAGATCCGCCTCAAACCTGTGAATACTTGGCGGCAAACATATCCAAGTTCGCCTGGCGATTCACCAAATCAAGAAGTCCCTTAGGTTTAGGGTTTAGGGGTTTAGCTTAGGGGTTAGGGGTCTGAAATCACCGCATAAATCTTTGAAGAGTCGAATCCAAGCACATTCCTTACTCCGTATGTTAGGAGTGTTGGGATCCCTCCCACAGGAATGCCTCCGCCAACACCGACCATGGACCCATGGCGACGACCGCCACATCGCAGCGCACGACGTCGTCGTCGATGCGGATTCCTGATCATGGGCAAGACTCCAAGGGACTAGGATTACAACTTTGATGAACTCAAAACCTAACTAGAAGGCATGCAGTGAACAGCTAGCCTCAGGTGCAGGTTGAGACAGATTCATCTGACAAGACAGCTATCATCTCAACAGCACGAGAATCGATTTCAGGGCTTGAAGGAAATGACATGCACCTGTTTACATGATTTCAGAACCCTTGGGCTGCATGCAGGGTGCCAGTCAAGCGATGGTTGCCCCAGTCGCTGACTTCTTCGATGCCTGAGCAGCATCTCTCTGGGTGAAGGACGGCCGATTAGGGCTTAGGCTTTACATGGTGTGAATGTATTGCTGGACGACGGCTGTCAAAGCATCAGAGTCAACGCCCGTGGACCCAGCCCAAACTGCAAGTCCGAACAGAACATCCCCGACACTCCTTTCTTGAGTGATGCTGCGCTGCTGATGATATAAATCCTGCATTACCTTAAGGACCCTAAACTATGGGAATTATGGTATATTCCTTTTATGGGTAATGCAGGATTCATATCAAACGTATGGGGTTGAAGAGAAATTTGAAGACGGGCGCTGGAGCCAAAGCCTAAAAATGCGAGTACCGGCCTGGGTAGCATTTAGAACCACAATGATACGGTATAACTACACTGCCTTTGGGTTTAGGGTTTAGGGTTTGTGGGTTTAGGGTTTAGGGTTTAGGGTTTGTGGGTTTAGGGTTTAGGGTTTAGGGTTTGTGGTAATCCAACCCTAAACCCTAAACTGCTGCGAAGCACTCAGACCCCTACTAAATGCCACTTAACCCTGAACATGCTCAAGACCTGAGCAAACCGGAAGCCTGAACCTTACAGTAGAAGCCGTGTGTCGGGCTTTTGAGTTTAGTGTTTTGGGGCTTTGGGGTTTAGGGTTTAGGGTTTAGGGGTTTAGGGTTTAGGGTTTAGGGTTTAGGGGTTTAGGGGCTTTGGGGTTTAGGGTTCCCAGTAGAAGCCCAAACGTTGGAAACACAAAAGCCTCGTCAATCCTTAATAGTCATGTTTGGAGAATCCCAGCACTATTTGCCATTAATCCGACTTCCAACTTTTTTGGGGTTTAAACCCGAAACAATAAACACCAACAGTTGTCATGTACGAGTCTTGCTAACAAAAACGTGGCTTTGGGCATGGAATAACTGTGTAAACTTGAGGAAGGATGTTGGCAGTTGATGGTACTAGTGGTTGTTCTGGCCCCTGTACTAAATCCTAAACCGCCTGAACCCTAAACCCTAAACCCCTACAGCCCTAAAGCCCTAAACCCCTGAACTTCCAAGCCCGGATTGGGAGGATTGCGGGTTGCAGGGTCGATGGTGTTGGGGGTTTAGGATTTCGGGAGTCTATGCTTGGAGGGTCGGGGGACTTAGTAAATGGTTATTTTATAGACTTATAAGTACTATAACCCCAATTAGGGTCCCTTTTAGGGTACTTATAAGTCTACTTACTACCTACTTACTAAGTCTCCCGACCCTCCAA